ATCGGTCGTACTTGATGACTCCTAACAACAACAGCAAGAGCAAAAAAACAACAACATTTCTTCCTCTAGGTCATATAGCCCTGGTGTACAAGTTGCTGTACAGCAGTAACTTGTGGTTGCTGTGAGACTGAACACTGTGACACTGATGTGTCAAATGCGTTAATGGCTGGTTACCCAATGAGGACAGAGAGTAGGGTGGAGCCTCCCGATTAAAACAAGTTTGGAAGGAGGAGTGGCATCCACTTCCATAATAGCTTGCCTCCGGAAACCCTATGAACCTGGAGAGAGGATGAGAGACACCCAAGCGTTAAGGACTCTCCCTCTTAGGGTCGCTCGCTATGAGTTGCCTGCGACTCAACAGCACTTAACAACAACAACAAGGGTCAAGATGGTTTCTTCCTTTGAAAATAAAATGCTATACAACTCAATTCAAATGGAGTAAAGGGAATGGAACCTGGAAATCAACCATGTTCTAAGTACTGTTTTAAGATATCCTCATCTATGTCCCATAGTTAGTATTCAAACAATAAACTTCTGATACTCTCTCCTGCCAGCCAAGATCCACCATCCACTGACATCAGCAATGACAGCCTAGTACACAGGATAACCATCTTTATGCATTCCATTTCAAAGGGAAATGAAAATATAATAAATTTTTTTAAAAAAGAAAATATAATAATTTATTCTCCAAAATAAACAGTTTATAGTGTTACACCACTAAACTGTTAGTGAGTATAAACAGGAACAATGTTTTGTTAAAAATAAACATGACTGTGCCTATCTTATATATGTTCTACAACACACTATTTTCTTTGCATTTACTGTTGGTCTAATGATAAACATTCCAGTTTTGTATGCTTCTTAAAATAGATATTTCACACATGTTTTGGTATACTGATATAACTTACTGATTACCACTGACATTTATGGTATATGATTAAACTAAAATCACAAAAGAAACAGACAACCCATTCAATGTCATCAAACTGGAACAGACTCATAGTTGACTCTCAGCAAGTTTGTGAAGCCATAAATCACATAAGAGGAGACTGTCCATCTTTTTCCTGCAGAGCTGTTAGGGGACTGGAACTGCCAGACATGTCACCTTTAGATTAGCAGTGCCATCCTCTACAGAGTAGGCCACCAGAGCTCCCCTGACATACATATATCAGCATCTCTTAGACAGATACACACCCCCCCCTTCCCTCCTCAATCAAGGAAGCTTTGGTGGCTCAGTGGTAAGGGATTGTGCTGGCAATGCACAGATACACGGTTTGAATCCACCAGCTGTTCCGCAGGAGAAACATAGACAATCTCCTTCCATGCAATTTACTGCCTTTAAAAACCTACTGGAGGGCAGTTATAGGTTGATTCTGACACAAGGGTACACAGCAACAATATATATAAAATGACATATTTCTTTTATATCTATCCACCTTAATGCACTTCTTAGATTCTGTTAAGTGATATATTCTGCAAATAGTAATTTTGATCTCCTGATATTTTTTACTTCTTTCTTATTGTTAGGTGCTGTCGAGTAGGCTCTGACACACAGCAATACTATGAAAAACAGAAAAGAATGAAACCCTGTCCTGTCCTGAGATGACCACTATGGAGTTTAAGTCCACAGTTGTAATAATCATTGGATCAATCCATCTTGATGCTAGTCTTACTCATTTTCTGATCCTCTACTTTTCCCAAGCATGATGTCCTTTTCCAGGGACTGGCCTCTCCTGACAACATACCCAAAGTAAATGAGACAAAAATCTCACCATTCTTGCTTCTAAGGAGTAATCTCTTGCTTTTAAATATCATGGTGGTAAACATGCATACATTCATACAATACAAAATGTGAAAGCTATCTAACAAAGTCATTTGCAAATAAAAAAATCGGAGTAGTCTGCTGGGAGTGGCCTGTGCCCAAAGAGGACCAATTCAGAAGATTTAGCCTGTGATATATTTTTTTGTCTTCAATCAGCTTAATAGGAACTTATAATTTTATTAAGGGTTAACAGTAGAATAAGGAGCCTTGGTGTTACAGCATATACCTTGCTAGGTTGCTAACCAAAAGGTTGGCAGCTTGAATCCACCAGCAGCTGAGGGAAAAAGACAAGCAGTCTCCTCCCATAAAAGATTAAGAGCCTCATAATAAACTTAATGGAGGGTCACTATGAGTCAGTCTCAGTTTGACAATACTGAGTCTTTTGGTTTGGTAATAAATAACAGGATAAAATAAAAAGTGTTGGGACTGGCAAAAATATGACTAAAAGGAAGGAGGAATTATAGGGTTATTAAAGGCAATGAAGAAGGGGAAGAAAAGACAATACTGAGAGCCTGAGCTCTGGTGTCAAGAAGTTGTGCATACAGGCATACAGTTCAAACCCACCAGTTGCTCCAAGAGAGATATGGGCACCTTCTCTCATGCAATCAGTCTCTGAAAACCTACCGGACAGTCAGCTATGGGATGACTCTGATTCGATGGCATAGAAAACAACAGTGAAAATAGTGACAAGATGCTCATGAAGGAATATGTAGAAACAAAATTGGTATTTTTTTAAATTATGTGTAAATTACCTGTCTTACAAGGTAAATAAATTATAATACATCAGTAAAAATGCTTCTTTTAAATTTTATGTTCAATTTATTGGATTTTAAAAAACTCCAACAAAAATGTTTTCTAAACTATTAAACATGAGAAATGTCATGTCTCAATTTTTCTTCAAAAAACCTATTAGCAATCCATTCATACTGGGAATTTGTTGTTGTTGTTGTGTATCATCAAGTCAGAACTGACCCATAGCTGACAGTCTGGCAGGTTTTTAGAGGCAATTAATCCCAAAGGAGGAGAATGCCCATCCTTCCACAGAGCAGCTGGTGGCCTTGAACCACATGCCTTTGGATTGCAGCACAGCCTCTTGTTACTAGGCCACCAGAACTCTCTATTGAGAATTTAATGAATTAAAAAAATGTAAAACAGTGAATTGGTCATTGTTAAATCTAGCAAGTTCTTACCTGTTGAGGATGTTGTATAGGTTGGGAGGATGGAATCCCGGTTAAGTTACTTGAAGCTGGCTGACCTTGGCTCTGCCCCTGTGCCTGAAGGAAAGACATGAATGTAACAAACTAGCACAGAAAAAAAGCTTTTCCAAATATTTAAGAACTTGTACAAACAAAATGAAGAAGTAACTTGAGTAAGTATGTACAAGATTCTTGGGGTGTCTTTTCTAAGAAAAATTTAGAAAAAATTTTAATCCCAGGCAAAAACTGTTTACTGTTCAAACTTAACCTATCACTGAGGCTCAATGTATCAAAACAGTAAGATTCATAATAACACTGATATTAACAATCTAATAATCAAGAACAAATATAACAAGATGATCAATATGAAAAAATATTATCTACACAACCTAAAAATAGTTGATAAATATAAATGCTAATTGGTAGGTCCCGCTGTCGTGTCATGTTGAGTTTTATCAGACATGTAAAGAAAATCAGGTATCATCAATTGTTAAGTCCCTAAGAGGAATAATTCTCAACTAGGAACAATTCTGTCCCTTTCACAAAAAAGTATTTAGCAACATTTGGAGATATTTTTGGTGGTCAGAGCTGGGTAAGGGTCTTAATGGTATCTAGTGGGTAGAGGCCACAGATGCTGCTAATCATCCTACAATACACCAAAGAGCCCCTATGCAACAAAAAATTATCTACTCAAAATGTCAATCGTTTTAAAGCTGAGAAAATCCTGACTCAGAGGATCTCAATTATCAGTAAGTCTATTATTTAAATGAAGATAATAAATCTAAAAGAGAAAATGCCATGTGACTGCAGGACTACTAAACAGGTGTAAGGAAATGAAAAGGTTGATTTCAATTTAAAGGGTTTCTTTGAAGCTTACTTGGATATGGCATTATAATCCATTAAGGCTTACATACTGTACAAAGAAAATATCTTTTTTTTATATTTGAAAATTCAGTTTGTCAAGCTTTAAGGAGAATGGTCAAAAATGCATTAAGTTTTTCACCAGGCACTATGGCAAAAAGTTCTGATGTTAGACTCTGGAATTCCTCTATCAAATAATTTTCAAGTTTCTGGATCTTTTTGCTTCTTAGTACTATTCTGATAAGTTATGTACATTTTTTAGAGTTATTTATATCTAATGGGATTTAAAACACAATTTATGCTACATTATAAAGGCAAAGGTTTTTTAAATTCCAAATGTTTTGAATATATAATTGCACAGTCTCTTATATAGACCTTAAGAGAACACAGGAAACAATCAACAGTAACTCCACTTCTTGAATTCTATTATGCCTATTTTGTATATTTGGTTTTTATTTGCAAGAGTTCATGTGCTTATATACATAACTATATTTAATTTTGTTGAAAAAAATCAAAACAAAGCCCCAGAATTCCAATGTTCCTTAGCCTATAACATACCACAAATACTTAACACAAAACAAATAATAAACTTACTACCTACTGTAGTTCCACCTACTTGGTAAAGATTAGGATCTGTCTTTAACTTTATAAATTATCATTTTCATTTTGGAAATTTTTAAGAAAAAGATTCCTCTACACTAATGAGATTCTGTGTATTAATTCTTAACAGTAATCCAAAAGTAATCACTAATTTTTATTTTGTAGGGGGAAAAATTATCTTTTGCATTTTTTTATTTTTAAAAAGTAGTCCTATTTCCTTTTTAGGGAGAATAAAAATACTTCACATTATTATTAATAAATAATCAATGCTGAGTTAATCTTACATACATCTGTGCTTTTATTACTACTTGAAACTATATTACATATATGAATATAAATGAATGACTTCAGTGAACTAAAATTCTAGTTTTCGTGATTTATTTTCCAAGGCTTGCTTATATTATAGGTAAATTAGGTACTTCTCCCTCATTTCTTGCTCTTACATACAAGTTGTTTGTAACTCACGAAAGATGGGAAATTCTAATGACAAAAAAAAAACAATGCTCCTCATAAATCCATGATTCAGGAAAAGGAGAGCCAGAAAACGTAAAATGTAATGATGCATAGCAGGTAGTTTAAAAGAATTGTGGAAGTTTTCCTATAACCTGTGGATGGAGTGCAGATCCTCCTGTAGGAAATGAAGCAGCTAAGACCTGCTGAGATGTGGTTCCTTGAGGGAAACAGAAGAAAAGTGGGGATTCTTGTAACATTGTCTGAGGCAGACGGATAATGGGTAATGAGACGTCAGAGCCAAAAGATGCTGCTGCTCCCCCGGTAGGGGGAGGTGACTGAAAATCACTGGGATCTGAAGAAGTAATTTGTGAAGAATCACTCGAATATTCTGGACTTCCTATTGGCCAGCTCTGTCCGATAGACTCTACCATAGTAACAGTCAATTCTGGGGCACGGTAATTACACTGTTCTTCAGTCACAGGCTGCAGGCGGCCAGGTAATCCCACTGATTGAGGAGGTGGCTCTTCCTGATTTAAGTCCACTGCAAGCTGCTGGTTTCGGTAAGCATGCTGAGGTACAACTCCACCTCCTTCTCCTGAAGAGGAGCTTGGTGCATGAACATGAAATTCAAATACACACTTGCTTCTGCCCTCATTGTTATGAGTTAACACAGCAGGTGCAGAATGAGGAATAAAGACAGGGTGAAATTTCAAACGTGTAGTATCTGTGCTGATAGGTGCAGAAACACTAGAGAGGGGAGATACTGGACTCATTCCAGAGTCTAACCTCAAATTCTGAAGGTGTCCTACCAGGAAAGCCTGTCCAGATGGAAAGTCAAAGACAGAACTTGAAGGAGGCCCTCCTTGTACTGTCTTCTGTTCAGGCATCTGCTTCATAGGACTTGATAATAATGGTGATTTGTATGCACTGCCATCATACTGTTCTGCGACCTGGGCCTGGTAATGCACCCCAGCTAGATACACTGCCTCCTGAGGAATAAAATAATGAGCTTCTTCTGGAAGTATTAGTCCAGATCTATAGTCACTGTAAGTTTGAGTTGGTTCAAACATAGGATGAACCTGCATTTCACACGGCTCTCCAGTTATTCTATTGGCTGTTGTACCCAACATAACGACAGTCTCTGGTGTCCAGTTAGTTGGGCTGCCACCAGGTGGAAGAAGATTTTGACCAACAGTCCTCAGCAAAGGTTGAAAGTGGCGAGTTTGGGCTTCCAGGAAGGAGGTGCTCTTACGCCGCTGGGAAATGGCTACTTTCGGTGGACAAGTAGGTGGTGGTGAAAAAGAAACTGGACGTTCATGAATAGTTGGGAAAAATATCTGTGACTCTGAGAATGTTGGGGTCCCCCCACACGGATGCACCATGGACTGAGGCTGTATTAACATGAATAAGACAAATAATTCATACATTCATATGTAAAATTACATTAGACATGCACAACTGGATAGTTCTCTGTAACCTAATTAAATGGTTACAGCAAATTCATAATTAATAAAGAAATAACAGTATTTCTGTAAATTATGTGCATTAATAAAAATCCACTGAATACATCCAGGGCCAATGTCATCAATCTGTGGAACTCTTTGCATTAGATAAAAGCTGCTTTCCCATATTTTAACTTTCTTTTCTAAAAGAACATGAAACAAATTTTCTAAATGATACTGTTTTGACTCAAAATTAATATGCTCACGCTTATGACAAAAAAAATTCCAGTAGTGGAAAAAGATTTAAGAATTAAATGAAAGCATTAAGTCTATTTTTATAACATGAGATATGTTTTTTAATAATATAAACAACTGTAGTAAGTGTTCCTAAGTCCTATACTTTTATGATTCTGTGCTGTATTAGAGGCTTCAGTGCTATTCTTTCATCAACTTAGATATCCTCTAATTAGAAATCATGAGGAGTTAATGACAGTAATTTCTTTCCTCTTGTTTCAAACAAGACAGAGTAAATAGTTTCACTACATGAAGCATGTTAAATATGCCAAATTACCAAATACCACTTTTCTGATCCTACACAAAATTTAATAACTATGAATTTTCTGATTTTGGTGTCCAGGTTAGATGAAAGAGGCAACACACATAACAGCCTTTTTCACTTAGTAGCATGTTTTGTTCAAAGTTCTAGATTAAGACTCTCATTACTTGATAAATGCAAATAATGCACACCACTATATAATTCACTTTCACGGATCTTTTTAAAAAATATATTGGTTGGTTTCATTTATCTTCAACAGGTCAGACTATGAAGCTAGCAGTCATTCAAATGTTGCTTTTTCACAACTAAAAGATGATTTCGAACTATAAAATCAGAAATTGTCCATTTTATTCAGGGTATATCCCAACACCACAAAACACTATTCTTGTCCTTAATTAACATCAAAAACATTTAGAAGTTGGTAAAACAAAGCTTTATATTTTCTCTATCTAGAAAAGCAGCAGCAAGGTCCCACAGTGCTTAAAATAAATGGGGCAAAGAATGTTACACAAACTATATGTAATAAAGGCCATATGCTATTAAAACTAAGAAAAAATATTTCCATGAGAGAACAATTCATGGCCCTTTATTTTGCTGACACATCATTTTAAGCGGTCAGTGAAGACAGGGGAAAGAGTTTCACCCAGCTTCATTAGTATCTCTTTAGAATATTCCATGTTTGGGTATATTTAGTAAGTGGAAAAACTGCTTTTGATTAAGTCAGCAATGAGTTTTCAAATTAAGCAATACATAATTTTTAAACTAAATTTTAAAAATGCAAAGATATTTATGTTGCTAGGAAACTGAAGAATATAATAAAATTTAGCATTTAATTAGGCCCATACTGACACATACAAAGAACTTTGAATAAATATCCTTTTACTACCTCCTTGCTCCGCCAAACCCTAAATACATAAACATTTCTTACAGGGAAGATTTTGTACCATAAAAGTATATACTATGTAAGCAAGGTAGGTAGTGTTATTAAATTTGCATTAAAATTGTTGGTGCCTGGATGTATTCATTGGTAGTAATTTTTCATTTGCCAGGAAGTTTACGGCTACATACAGTACTGACAAAGAGGGAAGGCAGGCTGGAGCGTCGGTGCTTGCGCAGAGAGGCAGAGTGCATAGGCAGGACACTCTCCAGTGCTTTAGAAAGCTTTTCGGCAAAAGTTTCCTCAGGGGCAGTCCGAAGGAGGGAAGGAGAAAGAGGTGTACACAGCACTGGTGGTGGGGTGGAAGGAGCACTGGGAGTGATGCGGGACAGAGAGGGAACAGTAGAAAGATGGGGAACACAAACCGACATGCTACGGCCACGACGAGGCTAAATGGAAAACAAACACACATGAAAAATACAGTACTTTGAAAACAAAATAACCAAATGTACAATGATAACAGGGTATATAGTCAACATAAAGAAATGCTCCATTTTCTCTCTAATTCTGCAAAGTCAATTTTTCTGGGGAAAGTCTTAGACTCCACAAAGCATCTGGCAGATCACTGTTATTCTACACTAGTGGGTCAAGTATGAGGTTTTCCTAGGTACTACTAAGATATTAATTAATTACTTTATGAATATTCTAAAATAGGACCAATTATTATGTGTATACAAAGAAGAATGACTGAGACCGGAGAAAGCAAGACAGGTAGGGAAAACATTATCAGCTTATGGTTTCAGTAGATTTATTAATAAACAAGAATGAACTCTGCTACTTTAAAATACATTATAAGATGTAAAAGATTTTAAGGGTTGGTTATATATTGTAGGAGCACCAAAAAGACATCAGATAGTTTAGAAGGCTCTGGATTAAAGGCTTACAGTACTTATTTATTACATTTGCTATTTGTTTATTACACTTTATCTGCAAAAGTAAAAGGTCATCAATCAGGAAAAAGCTTTCTTAAAAAGAAATTCACAACTGGGCATAGGAAGCCTTTGTACCTTTAGTAATCTATGAAAACAAAATCTTAATTGTGAATAGTAATAACAACAACTTTAAAAACATCTCATACACCTGAAAAAACAATTTAACCAAAAGGTTTTAATCAACTACAAAGTATTACATCTAATACTGGAAGGCTATGTTGTGCAAGTGTGCTATTTCCTCATATACTATGAATTGTGCAACTACATTTTCTTTTCCAAAATCAGTGTACAGAATTCTTTCAGCTCATCTGTAGTGGATCAGTAATATGTATCAGCAAGTGATTATTTAGCTTCATTCCTGGGTCTGTTTTTCCCCCCATTCTTTCTTTCTCTTTTACTCTTTTTATTCCACTTAGTATTTACAAATTATTGTAAGCCACCTTACATACTCTCTGAAGACAGGGTATTGGTAAAAATTTTTAAAGAATCTTCAGTAGTTAATAATTTCTTATTACAATGCCATAGAAGGTAAGAAACAGTCTGCTTTTTAGAGCAGTCAAAATGATATAGATGTGTTTGTGACTCATACTTGGGATCTTTAGGAATGTTTATTCCCATGTTCATAATCCTGTAATAAATGAAGTTATGAGAAAAAAAGATAGTTATGGTGACACCCCCCCAAAAAAATCCATGAAAATAAAAGTAGTAGAAACTGACAAGAAATGGGGACAAGTAATATTGTCAGAGCACATCAAGTCATCTACAGTTCTGCTCTACAATTGTTTTTTTTTAAAGGTCAGGAACTATAGGAAGCCCTCAGGTTTTATAAAAGAGTTCTGCTTTTAGCTGTGTCTTTAAGTTAAATGTATAGGTAGGTAAATTAGAAACAGGTACATTCAGTTTTTATGTAGTTTTCTGTAAGACAAAAAATGGCTTGAAGCCTTTTCAATGATTTAAAGTTATTTTTAAGTTGAATGTTCCTAACCCTGGCACTGCATGTAGATTGTTAAGAATTTAGTATATTGGTAGTATTCTTTGTGTTACTATGGTCATTCATCTTAAGACTCAGTAAAAGTAGGAACTGATGAATGGACCCTGAAAGAAAGATATTTTATTATAAGCTGAAGAACAGAAGACCTGAGCAAGAAGTGTTTTCTTAATTAACAAAGACTTTTCATATAGTGAAGCAAAATTTTAAATAAATTATCAATGTTAATTAATTTATGGTATCCTAATAGAAAGCAATAAATAGTCTGCTTTTATGATATCTGCAAGTATAACTGTATATATGACTCACATATAGTCTCACAAAAAATTTCTGAGACTGAAGAAACATTAGCCTGCCAAAATATCTTACTCAAGAAGGTTATACTGAGACCAGCTTTTCTGTAATTCCTTTTGAAGGCAGATACTTTTAGTTTGAAGAATTCAAAAAAGTCAATAAAAAATGTACGAGTATTACCAGATGATCTATTTTAACACTTTTTTATGTAAGGATGGCTAATGCAAAAGCAGAGGGTAATGATGTGTGCATATACGTATAGACACACATGAATAAAATATTCCTAGAAATAATTTAATCCCCCAAAAAAATCAATAATAAACAGATACCAAGTAAAGAGGGAACAGGGAAGGAAATGAACATATAGTGGGAAAGGAACTTGTGTCTAACAATGGACTTTAAGGCAGGAACACGCATAGCAACGTATAATTAACTAAACACAAGCGCTAAAATAAAACCATACATATAAAGGATTCCTTTATGGTAGAGTACTGACATGCAGCATTCTATAATGGTTTGAAGGTCTTACCTGTGTTACAAGAAGTCTTAAAAAAAATACTTGTAATTCTTTTAATAAGCCAACTTTTGAAAAACTCTCCTCACTCCCATACCCAAAACAAGTATTTCCATTTTATGTTACTTTAGCTCTAACTACACAGAAAATCACCTTACATCAAATTCAGATTAGTCTAAATCTTACACATAGTTGTCTTCATAAATGAAGTGGAACTAATTCCTACAAATTAGTGCATTTATCACACCCCAACTAAACTACTAAAATAAGTCATTTACACTTGCTACTTTAGACTTAAGTGGCTACTTGAACGGTAGAAAAAATGATTGTCCTCATAAGTCTTCACTCTTCCATGCATTTATTTACTTACCACATTTGAGGGTGGATATACCCCATGAGGTTGAGATTGTGCTTGGACAACAGAAGCTGTATGTCCTGGGACTGTTCCTGTAGAATGTGACTGTTCATGTTGGGAACCATATGAAACTGTCTGTTGACTGCTTACTCGGGATTCTGTGAAGACAGAAGATCCTTGGCCACTGTCAACTGTTCCATCAGCTGAAGGAGAAAGAAAAACAGAGAAAAAACAAATCATACACACCAAAAAAAGGCTCACATTTCAGACCATTAGTTTGTCTCTTTGCATAGATCTGAACTAAATAAAACCACAAATATACATCATTGTTTTAAGTAGCTCTCTTGTATCTAAATGAAGGTGTTTTAAGTAGCTCTCTTGTATCTAAATGAAGGATACATGGATGGGGGAAGATTTCTTTTTTTTAAGATCCCCATG